ATTTCAAATACGTTGAGCATCACATGATTAAACCACATGACTATCGAGGGCAAGATTTTTTGTCCCACACTGTATATGTTAAGGTATAAGGTACTTATCAATAGTATGAGTGACAGTTGCTCTATGAACTTTGAACATTCTACTAATTTTTGGTACTGATTGCTTATTTTGTAAAGGCTAATAATAATAATAATAATAATAATAATTTCACCTTGTTGACTTTTAGTTAAGGGATGCATTTTAAAATCAGTAAAGATTAGAAGTGCTTGTGGATTTATTTATATATCCTGATGTGTGTTTACAGGCAACACAAAATTTATACATGCATTTGTTCAAACCATGAAATATAATTATTATGTGTAATTTTGTACAATTAAATTTCGATGTGCAAGACTTTTGACCAGGTAGTGTATATTTTTAATGGCCAGCTGACGTCTTAAAAAGAAAATGCATACTAATAAGAGAGCTTTTTATTACTGAGATCACAACATGCCTCTGTGTCAGGAAGCTTACAGAACGGGTATATTTGTATCTACTCAAACTTGTGTCTGATATTAAGCGAATAACAATACAATATAATGTCACGAGAATGTCCACAGACAAGAGACCAGATATTCCCAATTGATATAGATATTAGTCCCTGCCAAATTTTGACGTTTTTTGTAGGATAGAAGTTGGCTCTGGGATTACATGCAATTTTTGTGTATGTATTACCTATATATAAATATGCGCTAGATTCAGTATTAATTTCACGGCGATTGCGTTGTTCGATATGGACGAGCCACCGATCAGGGAGTTAGGTCTGATGAAGTGAGTTTGATAACAAAATTCATTATGGAGATACTAATACGCGGTATTCGTTTATCGCTGTAAAAGTAAACATGTTAAAAAAAAACCAAATGGTATTGTATGAATGGATCTGGTAACTTGCTGGAAGGATTCAGCATGCTAAATAATCTAACGCAAGTTGTACATTCTAAGATATCTATCATGGTTAATGATTATAGTAGCGTAAGTTCCTCTGTCGTTTGGTGATCCTAGGACGCAAACATTCGGTCTTCCTGCGGTTTATAAATCTGAATCGGCTCTGACAATGCTAACGTACTTTTAGTCAATAGGGTGAATGAGCCAGAAGCATTTATTCTTGTTGCTTATTTGCTTTCATTTTCACAAGAACTTCTGCTAAATCGGGAAATTCATTCGTATCGGGGCTCTTCGTAATGACACCATATTCGGTAACAATAGCAGTAATCAAAGTCGCCGGTGTAACATCAAATGACGGATTCCATACATTTACGTTGCGCGGCGTTGTTAATACTTTGCCATACTCTCTATTATCTTCTAGCAAGCCAGCCACCTTGACAACTTCCTCGCTTGGACGTTCTTCGATAATAATTTCTTTGCCTGACACCGTATTTAGATCGATACTACTTGTTGGTGCAGCAACAATAAACTTTATACCATAATATTTGGCAACTATGGCCAGTTGATATGTTCCTATTTTGTTTGCAGTATCGCCATTTCGTGCTACCCTATCAGCACCCAGAACAATTGCATCAATCTCTGTATTCGACATCAGAGCTGCCGCCATGGAATCACATATCATCGTAGACGGTATGCCATCGCTTAGTAGTTCGTAAGCTGTTAAGCGGGCCCCTTGATTATATGGCCGCGTCTCCGTAAAATATGCGTGCATAAGATGACCCTTAAAATATAGGCTCCGAATAATCCCAAGCGCAGTGCCATAACCACCTGTTGCTAGCGAACTTGATAATAAGACAGAAGATTAAGTTGACGAACAAGTACATGGCAAGAAAATTAGATGTATTTCAACAAGCATATTGGGTCAAGTTTACCCAGTATTGCAGTGTGTTAATATCTTCAATTTTTTTTCATGTCTATTGACTGAATCGTATATGTAGTCTGCTCCGTAGCTCCCGATGGCCGTATTAACTTTTTGATCATCCACCAACATCTGTTTCCCATTCCTAACCACCGCTTCAATAATGTCGTCCATACTGTCGTTCTGTTTCGTTCTCTCTTCAACTAAGACCGATAAATCATCCACTGTACGGAATAGATTCACTGCTGTCGGACGAGCCGTTTTCAAAAAGTTCAACGACTTCTTCACATCAGACAATATAGCATCTGGCGTGTGAAAATATGAATCCTTATGCTTGCGAGCGAGGTCAACGGCAAGCGTTAACGCTGCGACTATTCCAATGGCAGGGGCACCCCGTACTTGCATAGTTTTTATAGCAGTATGCCCATCTTCAATAGTATTGATAGAAGTAAACGTGGTCTCATGGGGGAGCAAAAGCTGATTAAGTATTTTAAGTGATATTGGTTCGGAAGTAAATATTATGCTCTCCAGTGGCAGGCTGGACATAGCGTAAAAAGAATGCAATAAAACTACCGTTTCATTTATCCAATCGGCTTGTTCATATGACGTGACAATCCCATAATTGGAAGAATAGTCGAATGATTGCTATATAAATTCATTGGTCGCTTCTGATTTCTTTGTGTTGATAAGAAAGGAGAGATAGTTGGCAATCCCCTCGATAAGGACGGAATTGGGATTTCTATCCCTCTATCAGCACACAAAGTGTTTAAGGCATTGTCAATCCCTGCGGGGTGCGACGTCTTAAAAAGTTTTTTTTATCTCTAGTAAATAATATAGCGCATACGTATAAGAATACGAACTAGCATAGCTAATAATTTTATTGTCGTTTTATTCTCCGGACTGGATAAAGTCTGTTATAGGCCTGAGGGTGTAAAACTCATTGGAAGGTTTCTATGCGCGTATCTTGTAAAGAATGTAGTAAGCTGACATTCTCTATGTTTTGTGCGTGTAGAGATCATTCCCTAAAGATTATTATCAGAAAAATGCTATACTTACTGTAGCTCACAATGCGGGGGCCCAAAGGGGTAACTCTAAAAAATCCGTCCGTCTTAAAAATATTTTGGTTGTCACTGAATGAAGATTATCTAATCCGGAGAATTAGTTATGTAACATAATAATAACTATTTTTAACACTCAGAATATAATTTATTCCACAAAACGGACAGGCAAGAATACTGTTGTTTATAAAAGACAAACAATATGAATAAACTCCGCAATTTCCATCATCATTGTATTGACGCTTTGGAGAAGGAGATGTCGTGGTGAAGCGATAGAAGCACAGTAGAGTGAAGCGGTATATTGAACTCGTAATTATTCCTTAAACTGTAGGCCAATTTTTGGCAAAATTGACACTTATTTTTGTAATGCATTTTTGAAAACAATATTACTATGTTATCTGCACTTTGGTCATTAAGAAAAATAAATTATCTTACCCTGAAGATTTAAATGAGCATAAATACACTATAAAATAATACATGGTCAAAGAATCATGTGCGTTTCAAAAATTATTTTTAAAAAATTTTTATGTAAAATTTTTTAATTTTTGCAAATTCTGCTTTATTCAAGCTATAATAGGGTACCATATTCTTAGACAATATTTTTTCTTTACTTTGTTGTGAGTCTAAAAAGTCAAACATCTCAGTAAACGGGTGAATCATTAAGGAGTAATGGTCATTTGAAGACAGACACTTATGTCACATAAATTCATGCTGTTCACAAACAAGACTGCTTGCACTTTTCAAAGGCATAATTATTATGTTATTCTTGCACATTACATTAATTAAAATGTTTATTTTGTCTATACAATTTTTATAAGTCAAAAATTACATCAAATATATGCATATACAAAATAATAATATGTGTAAAACTAAAATATTCCATAAACTTAGCCTTAAATTTTATTTTAATGTGTTTTTTATATGCTTAACGTTATGTAACCTTGTACATACAGTCAACTCTGTCTATACCGGCATTGCCTATACCGGTTTCACCTTATACCGGTACAATTTCGCAGAACCAAAA